TTGTTTCTGCATGTTGAGTGAGTTTGCAAAAGTTTTTGAAAGGAAAGTCTGACGTGTACAATTAGCTCATGTGCATAGTGCAGCGCGTGCACTTTCAAGTCCGAGTCGATGTTTTCAATTGTCAACAAATCTTGACAAATATTTCTTTCGTTATCTTTGATAGTAAAAAACAAATCGAATGTGGTTTAGCGTGGTCTGTACTCTTATCGACAACGAGTACGTGTCATCATAGTGGCGCAGCCGAGTGAGTCCACAACATTTTCACCACTGTGATGACGTGTACTCGTTGTCGATAAGAGTACAGACCACGCTAAACCACATTCGATTTGTTAAGTATACCCGCAAGAGTTCTAAGACTAAGAGACGGTTATATGGCGAGTACGGAATGCGTAATATACTCGTAATACAGGATATATAAGGGACTCACGTTATGTAGTGGCCTGTGTGTGTGAGTAGAGTTGCCGTGTACTAGTAAGCTAAACGTTAAGAGTCGAGTAATTAAACCGTTGCCTGTTGGACTCTTTGAGTGGAAGTTGTTGGCGCTCGCGCGCGTTACAATATAACTATACAGGTTTATATACTACACTGTCTATGCTCTTCGTTTCATTATAAATGTACAGGAACATAATTTGCTACTAGCACAAAGTGTTCAACGTTACAAGTTCATACTCTCAAGGTAATCTGCAATCACTCCTACAGCTTTGTTTGCATTTCCTTGCTGCACTCCCTCCGCTGTGCGCGCTACAACTATTGCAGTCTTGCTTGCTTACAGTGTTACTCTAGCAAAATGCCTCTTTAAATATACTACTTTGCTGTCAATTTCTCGCACGAATATGTAGTCCTCTCCCTCCATGTAAACTTTGTGTGCCATGAACGATATAAAATATTTCCTTTTAAAGCACTCTGCGATGGTTTTTCCCTCGTGTTAGCTTAAGTTCAAAGCGCAAGGATGTTGGTCTGAAGTCCAATTTGCTCCGCCATCTAATCCGATAATGCAGGCCTTTTCGATATGC